ATATTGTATATGAAAATATAATGTATAATATATATATATATATATATATATATATATATGTATCCTACTATATTAATTAATATTTATCAATATATATTTCTATACATTTTATTAATTAAAATGCTACATTAATTATAATTTTTTTTATTATGTATAACATCTCGAAATTCTAGAATAAATAAATAAATCTTTCTAATAACTTAAGTTAACTCTATAAAAAAAAGATGGGAATTTTAAAATAATATAATGTGTTTATAATAATTGAATAAGAAATGTGTTAAGTAATTTGCTGGTAAACTGCTACCTAGGAATAAATTTAGGCTTAAAAAACATGACATATCATTTATTTTAGGTAAAAAAAAATCATGTCCCACATCTCTTGACGTTGGGTGTGAAGTACTACTGATAAATTTATTTTACAATTAATATGGAACCTTTTAATTTGAAAAGGTTGGAAAGTTTAAATATGTATATATAAATATATAGATATGTATGTATATTTATACATATAGAAACTAATAATTGTAGCAACAATATAGTTTTGACCTCGAAGAATTTTTTTTTCCTTATATTTAATAATAATTAATTATTCAATTTTGACCAAAAAATTACTATACAATTAACTATTGCATCCTTCTTATTTTGTTTATAAATTGGTGTTTATTTATTTTTCTTTAGAAATCATTGACCTACAAAGACATTAGAAAAAGTCATAGCAAAAAATGAGATAAGGATTATTGTTGTTGTCATTGTAAGCATAATTATGTTTAACCTTACACATGCTGAGAGTTCTCCATTCGTGCAAATTAAGTCAATCAACGCGCTTGATCCGAATTGTTTTCGGAATTGTATCAAAGTTAATTGCGACAAATTTATCGGTCTTCCGGAATATTCATTATGTTTCGATGCATGTACATTTTCATGTGGTGGAAAACATACCAATGATCTCCACAATTTACTGAAAGGATATGTAAATTAGTTATCGAGTTTTATCTTCAAATAGAAAAATAAAACAAAATGTTGGAACCATATTTGTTTGTCTATATCCTTTTTAATGTGTCTTTTGATATTTCATGACAACTTACAAATGATAATTTTAATTTTATCATTTGATCAACAAAAGTAATAAAAAAATGAATTTATGAGTGTATTAAAATAATAAGGTTAAAATTTAAAGTCGTATATTGTCTTGTGTATTATTTTCATGAGATGGTGTCTTTTGTATGTGGCATACACGTGTTTTTCAATTTAATTAATAATTTTAATTATCACAACGCCTCACATAAAATTTTATATTAGTTTTTTTAATTTGTTTGTGTAATACTCCAAGTATTATTGTAATTACGTTTACATTACTTAGAATGTGAAAATCCCATCATTTTAAATATTTATACGAAAGCTATTTATTAATATAATCATAATTTTATACAATTACAAAATAGAAATTACCATACACTTAAGACCTATTTGGTGGTTAGGATAAGATATGATATGATTTGAGAGTAGATCAAGAAAAGAGTAGGATATGCTAAGATCATTTAAAAATTTAATCATGTATATTAATTGGGGCACACCATGACAACAAATCAAATATCTTTTTCTTAATAATACACCAAGGTACAATTAGGCATCTCTATAACGCAAAGACATACCAACTTGGGCGGAACCCAAAACCTGCATATTATCTACCAAGCACAAAAAAGAAAATTAAAATAGATAATATAATGTTCATAAATAAAAATCAAGAATAAATAAATAAATTAAAATACTATATTTATCAGATAATTTGTTATCATGCATAACATCTTGAAATTCCAGAATAAATAAATCTTTCTCATAGCTTAAGTTAATTCTATAAAAAAAAAATTGGAAATTTTAAAATAATATAATGTGCATTTTTAATAATTTATAAGAAATGGGTTAAGTGGTTTGCTAGTAAGGTGCTACCTAGGAATAAGTCTAGGCTCTAAAAACCTAACATATCACTTATTTTAAGAAAAGAAAAACATTATGTCCCACACCTCTTGACGTTGGGCGTGAAGTACTACTAATAATTTTTTTTACAATTAATATGGAATCTTTAATATTTAAAAGGTCGGAAAGTTCAAATATGTATATATAAATATATAGGTATGTATGTATATATGTACATATAACAACTAATAATTGTAGCAACATTATAGCTTTTGAAGTTAGAGGAAAAATATATAGAAGGGGAGTTGAATATGTGTGTGCGAAGGTTTAAGGAAATCTTTTTGCATAAAAGGATTTTTCATGTTTCATATTGACGTTTTCAAATTCAAGATGCATCTCTTGTTTACTTTTAAGATAACATTTAAAAGTGTTTTGCGTCTGCAAGTTTTATCGTCTTCACTATGGTTTTTGTTTCATTAATAATGTAAACAAGATATGTTTTCCGTCCAAAAGCTGTTGTAGTTTGAAATAAGCAGTGAGTAAGATTTTCAGGATAAAATATCAAGTAAATAAATTTGCGTCTGAGAAGAGCAATATAGTGCAAAGATTGTTATATTGGTTCGCTCAGACTGAGCTACATTCAGACTCCTTCAATTGAAGGGTTCCACTAGATTTTCAATCAAGTACAAGTATTATCACCAGTTCTGGTTTGTCGAGTATTGTCGACTACTTTTGGCCCGCCAACTTCACTCGTCGGCGCTAGTATTCTTTGTTCAGCCTCTTCAGGCTCTCAGTGAGTATTCTCAACCACTCTTAGTTCCCGAGTATTATCAACCACTCCTGGTTCGCTAATTTCACTTATTAGCGCTAATATTCTTTGTTTAGCCTCTTCAGGCTCTCAGTGAGGATTATCGACCACTCTTGGCCTGCTAACTTCACTCATTAGTGCTAGTATTCTTTGTTCAGCCTCTTCAGGCTCTCAGTGAAGATTATCTATCCTCTTCAGGCTTTACAAATGATAGATAACTTATTTTGAGTGTGTGGTTTGCTCTCACAGAGAGGATACAAAGGTTTACTACACTCACTAAGGTTTAAGTTCCTAAGTTACACTTAGAACTCCTTAGTCTATAGAGATAAATAAAATATTATAGATTTGACTATGTATGCTCTGTCTCTGGTTTCTTTGCTTCTTGGGCTTGGAATCACTCTTCGCCAACCTTTCCAGGTTTAGAGTCATGACATATTTATAGTCTCTGTAAATTCTGCCCGTTGCAAGTGCCCGTTGAAGTAGAATGTACTCGTTCATGACTAGTTCAATTTCTCATTTAATGCACTAGATCTTGCATTAAATGTTGCTTCCTGTTTATAGACATTGCGTGAAGTCTTCTACGTTTTTGGTAGCTGCAGTGTTTGACTTTAACTGCGACCTAGGAATTTTTTGTCCTTTACCGGTCATTGTAACTGTAGAGACGTCATCTTTATCTGAAAAAGTAATATACTTTTTCTGAAATACGCATGCTTTAAATTTTTGACCTAGTAATTAAAGATCTGACTCAATACTTGATGAACCAGGCATGGATCTTTCTACTTCTGCTGTCTACTAGGTGTAAACAAATGATTTAATAGTTTCTCTAAGGAATCAACAATGTGTTTTTTAGGTTGTAGGATGAGACTGCCCTGCCTGGTGGGATAAGACTTAGTCTACCATGCATTCTTTACCATAATTGCTTCATTTTTTACTATGCATATTTACATATATTTTCTTTTACTGTACAATTTTTATAGTTTGTTTAGATATCTTTGATTTATATATTCACCATCTTAATTCTGGATTTTTAATTTTTTCTTATGCATAGGCAGTTCAACGACCCTGGGAAGAAGATCCATTTACCATGAGTGAGGAAGTTATGAAGATGATAGCATTAGAAGTTGTGCGTGAAAGGTTATTGGACTATGTACATCAGGTAGTTGTTGAATCCATTCATTCTTCTAATACCTAGCTAGAATTTGTAAGAAATATGTTGTAGGATTTGGCTAATATTGTTTAAATATTATATATTGACTAGCAAGTTTATCAATTCATGAAATTCCATATGATGTTGAACAGCGATTGATTGACTGGAAAGAGTTACGAGATGGTTCTCTTAGGATTGAGCAACATTTCATCACTAACAAATTAAGCCAACGCAAGATTCTTGTGGGGAAGAATGGCTCAAAAATTGGGTAACTAGTATTTTCAGCCTATCCATTATGTGGCTTAACAGATTTTGCTATTATTATTTTAGCAGTTTCTCCTATTTTGAATATGATATGACAAGATTGGAATGTTGTAAGTTCAATCAAAGCATATGGGAAGAACTGGGGATACCTTCATCTTTTGTGCTATATATTTGAGATTTTCAAGTATAGTTGTGCCCACCTTCCATATGAAATTATGAGTATTTAGATAGGCTCGTGACGATGGTTCTCTGAACTCGAGAATATAATCATTAAGATTCTTGTGCATCAAAATTTCCATTTTCTGTAGAATATTGTCTTTTGATCTTAAGAGTTGGGACAACAGGTCTCCAATTTTATTTCTGTTTGTTGTTTGAATCTACCTTCCACCTGCATGCCTTTATCCATCTCCTGTGAGGTAGTGTGCATGCTTTGAATTCATTTTTTCTTGCTGGCTTCCTTCAGATGAACACTAATTTGGGTTTAATTATGTTAAGGTTGCGATCTTATGATTTTTGACATTTTCTTTAATACAGGAGAATAGGAATTGAAGAAAATGAAGATCTAAGGTCCATTTTCAAAAAACAAGTGCATCTAATTCTCCAAGTTAGGCATAAACAATGAATCAGGAAAATAGAATTGATGAAGTGTACCTTCTTTGCCGCACCATGTCAGTATGTGAAATGCCAAAGTTGTGGTGTGTCTTACCCTTGCATTTGAAGTTCGCAAAGGAACAAAACCGTGCTAGATGTCATGGTGATCATGGTGAGAATCATCGGTATGGTGACACAGGTTGAGTTCATTGGTGATCTTGCAAGCAAACTTTTGTGCCATTTACCGTTTAGTTGCCTGTGATTTAAGTTTATTGTGTAAGAAATATGAATTTCAAAATGAAATTTCCATATTTTATTGTTTACTCAAATATAGTTTGATTTATGCATGTTTTTTATTATTATATCAAAATAGACGAATACTGCATTTGGTCTATAACTACATAAAGGTAAAGAGATCACATTCATAAAACATAAATCATAGTCTAATGTGGAAATTACAAAAAGATAAAATTAAGGTCTTCTAGACTCTAACAATAGTAGCATTCTAAGTTAATCCTAACTACGTCTCGATGTCACATATCTTATTAGAGCACGACCAACTGAAGCCTAAGCTTCGTCACCAACATCCTCATGTTGATGGTCATCTGCAACACAGTAGAAGACACACATAGAACAAATAGGGCAGTGAGAAACATCTCGTTTAGGTTAAGGTGTAAAAATAACGGTCAGGCAACACACACACAAATCATACAAAGCACAGCACAAAATACACCTTAATCAAGCACAACTCAAGTCATACATACATTAGTAGCACATACACTATCAGTATCACATGCACACTCATTTATCATGCAATGATGTCATGAACTCGACTCATAAATGCATGCATGTGGCGCTAGTAACATATCACATATCACTGGTGTGCTGCCTAAACGAAACACCTAAGATAGTCTAGGAGTACATGTAGGGAGCTACCCATACACTCTCAGCTAGAAAGATGTACTATTAGGGCCTGGTCGAGATAGCGAAACTGCGCAAGTTACGTCTCGTGGTCACAAACGGGTGGAATTGAGACAGAAAAACCGCACTATCCCCTAGGACTCCCCTAAGCTGTGCCACAAGGAGGGCCTTCCCTAACGGCGTACTCCACAGCGTACCCTTCACATAGATGCACATGATGCATGTCACACACATTCACACTTCATGGACTCATCACTTTACTTGTCTAGGACTTTCATGTCTTATATCATTTCATCATATTTCACATTCTCATAGTCATAGTGCTCACAATAGCACGTCATTCACATCATGTCTCATGTCATTTTTTCAAATTTCATATAGTCATACTCATAATATCATCATTTGATTCTTATCCTCATCATGCTCATATTCACTTTTCACATTGTCTCATCATATTCACATAATCTCCATAGAGCACTCTAATTCATAGAAAAACTTATCTATTTTTGAAATTAAACACATCTTTGCACTTAACATCATACAAGAAACATAACAGAACATTCAGAAAGTAAAACAGAAAGCATTAGAAATTTGCTTGTTTCTCATAGGGTTCCCACAGGAACCCATAGAACACTCTAATTCATATCAAAACTTATTTATTTTCAAAATTAAACACATATTCATGTATCACATCCAACCAGAAACCCAATAGAAAACTCAGATATTAAAACAGAAAACTTTCATAATCTGCCTGTTCCTAGAGCATGCATCAAGCAGGGGATTGGGGTCAATCCGGCTACCCAACAATTATTCCCACACTCTCGATTTATTTTTCTCACTCCCCCCTTGCCTGAATAAGCAGAAGATGAAGCTAGAGAAGAATATGGTTGATCTCCTTCTCTTGGTTCTCCTTGGTCTTCAGAGAGTGTGTCCAAGAGCAGTGCTAGAGTATGCTATTTATAGATCAAAAGTGGCTAGAACGACCCGTTTAGGATCCAAAATGACCCATTCTGGATCCTTTCATCATGTGTTTAATTCACATTTGAAATAGTTCGTTCTTAAACCAGAACAACCCGTTCTGGAGTTGAGTTTAATTCATAACGGTCATGTTTGGAACGACCCGTTCTTAAACTAGAACAACTTGTTCCCAACTAGGGTTACATGCCTTTTTAGTAGTATGGAACGACTCATTCCAGTTTGGAAACGACTCGTTCTAGGCTACTAAAATTCAAAATATTGGGCTTTGAGCCGTCATATAATTTGTGAAAATCGGGGTGTTACATCATTGAAAGAACACATGGAGTTTGGAAGAAAAGGTGGCATATCTTGTGTGATATGAGACTACATCCATTGATTAAACAACAAAAGATTATAATTGCAACAATGACGTTACTTCATTCAGATGTTCGGCGTTGAAGATGAAGAATTTAACAAATGTGATAATATTCCAAAATATGACTAGGGGTAGAGAAGAAATGAATGAAGATGAAGAAATGATTTCATATGATCCTAGAAGAGTAGTAAATGTTGCTTGTATGGATAGATTTTGAAATCAAATGGCAATTGCATCGATGAGAAGTAGATATAATTGACTTGTTGAATCATGAATTAAGCATTTTATTAAATATCTTCTTGGTTACACATCTATTTTTTTTGTTCATCCCTGGAGTATCCACCACCAATAGCAGTGACTAATCTCCTCGCTACGTTGGAGGCACCTTAAAGGGTGGGATAGTTGGCCCCAAGATTTACACATCTATTTAAGTTGTGAATTACTTGTCAAGTATATATATATATATATATATATATATATATATATATAAAAGTTGGTATTAAATCATTTCTAAATAAATTGTTTTGTTTCCTTAAAAATATTATCGAACAAGAATATGTTATAACTTAAATATTTTATCATTTGTAATTATTATTAAATGTCTTCAATTAATATTATATGTGTCATATACAAATAATCATTAAATTAATTTTTTATATTAAATTTTTGTTTTTAAAAAATAATTTTTTTGAATATCTTTATTTTAAAAATTATTATTATTAAAATATTTTACATAGACTAAATTATTTGTATACAATAAGCTGTGAATATACTTTTTCATTGAAAAAAATATTTACAACTTTTAAATTTTTGCCAAACAACTTTAAACTTAAAATAACTTTTAAGTTAAAAAAGATTGAAAACTTACAAATAACTTTTACTTTTTTTTAAGTTCACATTTTCAACTTTAACATGAAAGTAACTTATAAATTAATAAATAGAGAGGAGAAGACACAATGTTAAATGTATTAATTTACCAATATTGAAATATATAATACATGTCAACAAGCATATTTTAATTAGAAAGAGTAATACTATTTGTGGAAGAAGAAAAAAAAGATAATCATTATAAGGGAGATTGAATAGTAAATATCAAAAAATTGTATTTTTTGCAAGAGTAGTATCTACAACAAACGAAGTATTAGAAGAGTTCTTAATCTAACCAGATTGAGTTCCATTAACTTTATCAAAATTACAAATATTCTTTCCTAAATCACTTCTGGCTCTACGACAAATGTTATTTGAATATCCCCCTTAAGTCACTATCCAAGTATTCTTTTATAGTCAAACCACTCTCGGTAAGGGATGATAAATATACCCGTACCCGCGGGTAATACTCGAATTCGTCTCGACTTTGACGGTGAATACCTGGTTTGACCGAGTACGGGTACGGGTACGGGTAAAATCCGATATATTAAATTGGGTACAGGTATGTACTTACCCGCCTCGTACCTGTACCCGTCCTCGTTCCCATTTTTAATTTAATACCCACTTTCAATTTAATTATATTAAATACTTTTAATATATTTTTTATGTGTGATTATTTATTATAATATGAGATAGAGAAATAACCTAATTATAATTATAATATAATAAAAAATAATAATTTAAAAATATCATATATTTTTTTTCAAAAAATAAAAAATAAAAGAATTGACGGGTACGGGTATACCCGATACCCGACGGGGACATAGATGGGGATGAAAATCATATACCTGACAAGTACGGGTACGTGGATGGGTATCATGAAACCTGTACCAGACCCACCCTGTTTCCATCCCTGCTCTAGGCTCTACAACAAGTGTTCTTTAACTAACTTCTTCAAGCCATTATCAAAGCATTCTTTTATAGTCAAGTCTCTTCAACCTCTACCCTATAACAACAATTATCCGGTAATTACAAGGTTATTACAATCATCTCTCTAAGACGTGAATACAACAACATTTTGGTGCAAAGATTTTTCTACAAGACAAAAGCTATATAGAAAAAATGTGTCAATGAATGTTCTTGTATTTCGATCAAAAACCTCTCTTTGTCTTGATGTTCAAAAACTTCTTATATAGTAGCTTTGGAGAAGATGTTTGTTGTAATACTTTGGGTCTAGTTCACAAGTTTGCTTTGTTTGTCTTCGTTTTCTTCCTTGTGGTGGCAGGTAATTGTTTGGCACATTTAATGCGGGTATTAAATGCATTTTACTAAATAATATCTCTTATCTACTCAAGGAGGCTACTTATCAACTTCCATACTAAATGGAGCTTGTAAAAGCAATATTAGTGCAAAACAACTATTGTAGTGACTTTATCTGTTTTTCTTCATGATTTTAGGGATTCGGTTCTAACAGAAAACATGATTCTTTTCTTTAACGATTTGTAAGTTTTGAGACAATATTTTGATTTGATCTATTAAGATATTTAATGCACATGAGATAGACAGTGTGCTTTGTCTGATTATCAATCGTCTTATAGAAGATCTACATCTTACACTTTATCTACTAAGTCTTTCAAAGATGTTTTCGTAAACATTTCTTCTATATAAAAACGTTTTATTTGTTAGTATTAAAATTTTGAATTTAAGGGATCGTCTTTTGACTTAACACTATTTTTGCTCTCTTTTTTTCTTACGATATTTTCTACAACAAAAAGTTGTAAAAAGAAATGGAGATAAAAAAAATCTCAAGTAAAAGATGGAGTTAGAAAGGTAGGAATATAACAAATAAGCTTACAATGAAGATGGTGGCCAACCATGACCCTGATGCATCAAAAGAAATGGTAGAACTAAATGCAACCATCATGATTGACAAGGAACATATATAAACTTCTCAATCATGATCTTTTAAGGATATACTTTTGAACTTAATCAGATTAGTCAATCTCAAGATATTCCTTAATTACTTCATCGATTGTTTCTTCACCAAAATTCTAATCTTTGTCGTATCAGTCCTGCTAAGAACAGTTAACTCCATAGAAGTCAATATACCCACTAATCAAATTATAATAGAAACCTTTCTTAACTAGTAACCAAACCGGCT